ACATAGATCAATCACCTTCGTAAGCACTACGGTACATCTACAGTATCCAGATCAAAATGACGATCAATTATCTGCTTTGGAAATCCGCCAAACATCTCTGTGCATAAAGTTATGGGTCTTTTGCTCTCTATAGGTGAATATGCGCCCTCGCACCACTTCCCCTGCAAGGCAATTGGGCCATAGCCTAGTGGTTATCATAGTAGACTGTTGCGCACAAGGTCGAGGGTTCGAGTCCTGGCTGATGCACAAGTTTTTGTTTCACTGAGAAGTTTTAGGGAATTACGCTTTTCTCGTTTGTTTGCAGCTTTTCGGTTATACAAAATAAAAAATTGCAATTTGCACTGGGTTTAATCCAAGTGGACACACACAGAAGTCCAGCAGAAAACCTTTGTGTTTCCCTGCAAATGAGAATAGCGTTTATGCTTCCGTTGACTTCTGATAGTCCGCAAATACATAAGGTTACGGCATATGCATCAGAAGTGAAACATGCGCTGGGGAATAGAGGATTAAATATTGGTTAGTCACATGTTTTGGAAATTTGCCAAACACACCTGTGCTTGAAGTTATGGGCATTTCTTTTAGCGGATACGGTTTGCGATGCCCCACATCCCTCCCATAAGTTCTGCACATTCTTCATAGCCTAGTGGCTAAGAGGTTAGACTACTACCCAAAGCTCCCAGGTTTGACTCCTGATGTGGCAGTAGTTTTGCAAATGCAAAACCCATTTGATATCTGTTCATAAAATCTTCTCCTGTACTAAAATTACCGTTTTTCTACTGTCTGAAAATAATGACCGGTTATTTTCCTAGAGGCACCTGCTTTTCCGCTTTTGACAGCTCGGGCGTCCAGCTTGATCCAACCTGGTCCAACCAGTGTCACGAACGCGTGCGCGACGCGTCAGGCTTGACGCCTGGATATATTTGCACATTATTTATTCTCGACATTGTGTGTGAAAGCCAGCCAAGGTAAACATTCCATCGGATTTCACACGTCATTGCGCGTTGATCAGATGAGTGCTACCAATCGATCGATATGCATTCATATTACTAGTCTCTTCCACAACTTCGCCAGACTTTACATTCTCTCAATGCTTGTTATTTAGCTAGCGCAATTCTCTCATCTTGCCGTTTCTACAGTGTTTTCCCTGATTCTCAGGGAAAACATGTTTGCCACGAGCAAGTGATTACTCGGTGATAAGCGGCTTCACGTTGTCAGATCCAGTGCGCTGAGCACTGGGGCAATGACGGATGATGCGGCTGGTTACTGACGTAGTTCCGTCGACCTGGCAGTTGTTATCAGCCAAGCTAAGCTATTCCTTGCTCTTTTCCTCATCGCAATGAGTTTTGTCCGAGTTTTCCGGTTCCGATCCTGATAATTGCTGATTTTTCTTGTTTTTGGGAAATTTTCTCATCTGAATCATCTCTGGGCGTCGAAAGATTTTGTTTCTCAGATTCTAACACTGTAGAAAGGTGATGTAATGTAATTTTGCGACGACCTAAGCTACATGATCCATGTATGGTTTATTTATAGGACTAGCATAGGGCGGGGCTTATAATTAACAGCTAACTACCTCTAAACGACAGACAAGCTGACGGTTAAGGAGCCTAAACACGCTTTAACTGTTTTGAAAAGGCTTCTCGACTATTCAACTTGTACTCAACTTTTGTTGAAGCCTCTGTTCCATACGGCTGGCATCGACTACAAGCCCCGCCCATCGCCAGTCCTGCGAATGGACTATATGTATATGATATAGCGAAAATTGGCCTCCACTTCGTAATTACGATTGTTTGATACTTTTTTCACTCATTTCATATAGCCTTCTAAATAAATAATCAAGCTCCCCCTATGTCCTCGAAAACGATTAGACAATTTTTGAAAATGAGCTAAAGGCCATGGAAAATCCAAAAGGGGTCATATTTTCAAGTTATTTTCCATTGAAATTTTTAAATAACTGGTTTTTACTTTAAATTAAAACTAAAATTCGCCTCATCCCGCCCCTCCCACCCATCTTTTGCCCTTAGAGTACTCAACCGGTTCACTTTTTTTTCTTTCATTCTTCCACGCACTTTTAAGCCTGTGCACATACAAGCAGCGCAGGTGCGGAATGTTTTGGCAACTTGCCAAGGAGGTAATTTCTCCACTATTCGTCATTTATTTTTGCTATTGACGGTTAGAAACGGTAGTGCTAGAGAAAGACAGCTGAAATGTTATATTTCTGCGGTCCGCTCCTCAATAGCAGTAGGCGAAAACTGATCTTCGATCCAAAAATTTTGCTTCTTTCGGGTATCTTGTTTTTGACCTTTTAACAACCTTTTCATTTTGATTCAACTTTTAGCTCAAGATTATCCAAAATCTGCTGTTGTAATGTTTCTTAAACTTTTCCACAGGCATTTTTTTTAAATTCATTCCTTTTCCCAGCTTAGTTCATATTTCGCCATATTTTTGAAAAACTCCAGTTTTGCATAGATAATCCAATCTCTTTTTGTATCGATGCAGCATCAATGATCTACTGATGAAGCTTGGATTGCTCGTTCGAAAATAGTGATTGGACTGGAGAGACGCAGGATGTGATGCAGTTCGATCCGTTATCCAGCTATCTATGGACACTTTAAAAAGAATTTTTATGACCTGTATGTGATCTGTAAGTTTCGTGAGAGCATACTTGCATTAAGAATATTAGTAAAATCAAATGTAGCTTAGGGCGAGAACTGCTCTCTGTTCGGTAATTTCAGATGATTGTATGAGCATTCTCAGATGACATGCTGTAGAATTGGAGTTATTAGCGAGAACTACTTTCCAGGTTGTATTCTCAGACACCTTCAGATAAACATTAGTACAGAGCATTATCCTATATCTGGTGAGGACGAGAACTGGTCCCCGGCCTATATCCTCACCTATTTGTTTTTAGCTTCATCACTGGTTAAGTTTTCCTGTAAGTAACAGGAGAGAAGATCAACCGTATATGGGAAAACAGCTGCGCGGCAACGAAAATTATTCTTTTGGAAAACTGACGTGGACCAGTTCTCGCATAGCGGAATTTCACTTTTCTGCAATATTCTCGTGCAGCTTTATTGCTATAAAGTAACTTTTAATTATGCGTTGTCTCTCACTTTCTCAGAGTATCTCTTACTTCCTCAGAATAATCTCCCATGTAAGTAATTACTTCCTGCTGAGTGATTAACGGAAATTATGCAGCGTAAAAGCAGAGATCACTTGTTGCAGCTGCTGGTTTATAGTCGTGCCTAGATGTTTATACTCCAGTTTTCGGAGAATTGCAGAAATTTGTAGATTCCTGAGCCTAGGGAACCTAACAAGTAGCCTGATCTCTAGCGCGGTGAGCTGAACTCAACACGAAAATCTAATCGAGCGCGTTACGCTCATCCGAGTACGCCGCTTCCTGAGCGTCGTGATTTCTCGTGTGCCGCCGCTGAATTGAGTACGCAACTGCACTAATATCTAATTGAATTCGTTCAGTATGTAGTCAAGTGAACTGAGAGATTGTCTGAGGCGATTTGTGAGCGGAGGCATGAGCTCCTCATTTATAGCCCCAACCTACGCTCACTTCGAGTCGTCGCACTTCTGAGCCCTTTATAGCAATGGCAACATAGTTCAGAGGATAAAATGACGAAGCCCAGCTATGGATTAGCCTTATCTCCCCAATATCCCCCTCCTTGTGTTTATTTCCGAGATGAGCTGAGTGGCCATCTCATCTGACACCGCTTAGCTGACTAATAATATGTCTATGTGTACTGCGCGAGCGGGGGACTTTTGCGAGGACGACGCAACAAACAACAAACTGCTCTCGTTCGCTAGTCAAAACAAATCATCTA